AGTTGCCCCGCTGCCATGGTGATTTCTCGGCGTAGTAAATCCGAGTATTTGCGGGCAGTTGCATTAGCCTTTCGGATAGCTTCATCAGCTTTCTCGCGGATGGTCTGGAGTTCCGTCACAAAGTGTTGCGAACGTGGTACCGGGTTCTCAGGGGTCGTTGCTGTGGGTACCACTGGATCCATCCCGTAATTAAGGAAAAATGGGGAATGGTTGGTCGTGCTGGAAGGGGCGTTGTTGTATGCAAATTCCAGCATCGGAAGCGAATCCTCCCATCGAGCAGGGTCGGGGCAGTTCGTGCGGATGAGCTGCTCCATCGTCTGATTGGTCCGCTCGGTCTGGCCGTCTGTTTGCGGGTGGTAGGCCGATGAGAACTATAGCCGTGTGCCGTACTGCGCCCATGTCTCCTTCCAGAACTTCGATGTAAATTTCGGGTCCCTGTCGCTGAAGATTGCAGACGGGATACCGTGCAAGCGAACAACGGTCGAGATGAAGAGGCGCGCAGTTTCTTCGGCAGTGATTGTTGTACGACACGGTGCGAAGTGCGCCATTTTCGTGAGGCGATCGACGACGACGAGTACCGCATCGTTGCCACTTGCGCCAACTGGTAGCCCCGTGACAAAATCCATTGTCACCTGTTGCCATGGTCGCTCGGGTGGCTCGAGGGCTTGCAGCAGGCCGGCTGGGCGCTGACGTGTCGATTTCATTGCCTGGCACACTATGCATGAAGATGTTAGAATCTAGCAGCAGGAATGGATGAACTAACAGGATGCAGGAGTACAAGTAGTAAACCCTAATTGGGTTGTACCCCATATGGGCTACCCCACTACAGCCTAGACAATATGCAGTACATATAGTTTGACAGAAGACACATAACGCTGCACGTCAGAGTTAGAATCAGGCCAATAGTACTGACGGTGCAGAATTTTCTGCGTCTTGTCAACTCCAAAATGTCCGGAGAAGTTCGAATCGTGGACCTCCTGGATAAGCAATTCCCGTAACAGGCGGTAGGCGGGTACCCAAATCCGGTCCATTCCATACGGCTTTTAGGTAATAGTCCCCTTTCTGCGTCGTCGCCTGTAGGTAATTGCCTGTCGTGAAGAACGGGTCCGTTTTGTAGCCGTGGGTGAATAGTCCCGAAAGGAGCGGGTTCGAATGTGTGATCAGTACAGCTGCGGATTGAACTGTTGGTCGGGTCAGGGCGTCGGCAATGTTGTTCGCGCCCTTCTTGTAGGTGATCCTGTAGTAGAAATGTGACTCCATGTAATCGAGCCACCGGATTTGTCGCGGGTTGAGGTTGGGTTGCGCTCGAAGGTACTGTAGGGATTTATGATCGGTGCGAACAGTGACGTCGGCTCCAGTCAGGTAGCATCGCCACAGTTTAAACGCGTGAATGATGGCGAGCATCTCCTTGTCGTGAATCGGGTAGTTGCGTTCGGCTGCCTGCAACTTGCGTGACTCGTAGGCGATCGGTTGTAAGCCGTTGCCAAAATCCTGGAGCAGCACTGCGCCGATGGCGAAATCTGAAGCGTCGGTGACAACTTCAAACGGCTTGGATGGGTCGGCGATGCGAAGAACCGGAGGGGACACCAATAACTGCTTCAACTCCTGGAAAGCCGCCTCAGCCTCCTCCCCCCACACGAAGTTCCTGTCCTTGTGCAGCAGGTCGGTCAGCGGGCCGGTTATCCCCGCCATATTCGGGATAAACCGCCGGACATAATTCACAAACCCCAGAAAACTCTGAAGTTCCGTGACATTAGTCGGGGCCTTCCACTCCTGGATGGTCTTGATTTTCTTCGGGTCGATTTTGATGCCGTCGCGTGAGATGACGTGCCCCAAAAACTCCAACTCTTGCTTAAAGAACTCGCACTTAGAACCCTTGGTGATGAGCCGGTTGTCTTGTAGCCGTTTAAACACTGTGTCGAGGTCGCGGAGGTGCTGCTCGCGTGTCCTGCTAAAAATCAGAATATCGTCCAAGTAGACGATAACACACTTGTCCAGCAGGTCGCGAAACACCCTGTTCATGGTGCGTTGGAATGTTGATGGCGCATTCGTGAGGCCGAAAGGCATCACAGTGAACTCCTAATTGCCGTAGCGGGTTCGAAAGGCAGTCTTATGACAGTCGTCAGCGAAGACCCTGATCTGGTGGTAACCGCCGCGTAGGTCAATCTTCGAGAAGTAGCGAGCGCCGCGAAGTTGGTCGAGGAGGTCGTCGGTGCGTGGGATGGGATAGCGAGACTTGATGGTAACCCGGTTGAGCGCGCGATAGTCGATGCACATGTGAATGCCGCCGTCCTTCTTTTGTGTGAACAGGATCGGTGCGGCGAAGGGCGAAGTACTGGGTCGGATGAAGCCCTTCTCCAACAGTGACTCAAGTTGACTTCGAAGCTCCGCGAGTTCGGGCTGAGTCAGACGCCACTGTGTACGAACAGTCGGTTGCGCGCCGGGCTCGAGGGTGATTTTGTGGTCTTCGGGTCGTTCTGGTGGCAGTCCAGGTGGCAGGTCGTCCGGGAAAATGTCGGGGTATTGTCGAATCAGCTCCGCTAAATCAGGTGGTACAGCTGCGCACAGCTTCTCGATGTCGTTTCCGTCGGTGTCGGCTGCCAACTCGCGCAAGCATACGGCGAACAGTTGCGCACCCCTGTTGACGTGGCGTGTAATCGTGATGGCTTTGACGCATGTAGACTCGACGTAGTCCGGAGTCCACGCGGGCAGAGTAATCAGCCCCCCGTTCCTTGCTGATGCTGCACGATCCCGTCGTCCAATCGATTATCGGGTTGTGCCGTCGCAGCCAATCGCGCCCCAGGAGCACGTCGCATCCGTCCAACGTCGTCGCGAGAAACTTCATGCTGAAGCCGAAATCGTCGCCGCACTCAATCCGCACCGTCCGCGTCTCCTCCATAATCGCCAGCGGCGTCCCATCCACGAGGCGAGCGTCGATTTCGGGCAGACACCTGTCCAGCTGCAACTTGCATTTTTTTGCTGTCGCCAGATTGAAGAGGCTATGGCTAGCCCCGCCATCGACGAACATTTTTATTTTTTTCTTAACAACCGTGCCAACAACCAGCACAGGGTGATCCACATGTTCACCCCCGTTATTCGTCCGAGTGCGATCGATTGCATGAATCGGAACCACGACTCGGTGGGGATGGTGGGGTTCGGGCGACAGAGCACAGTCAGTAAGGGGCCCGTCTGTTACTGACTCTTCCCATTTCCCGGCTCCTTCCCGTCGTTCCTCTTTCCCTGCGTCCTGTCGGGGCAGTCTTTATACATGTGGCCCGGCTTCCCGCACTTAAAACACAACCCTGTAAAAGGGCGGTCTGGCGCATGGACTCCGTTAATCGTGGCCCGCTGGGTCTGTCCACGAAATCGGTTTCCCTCCCGAGAACTCGATCTCGCCCACTGCATCAGCGCGTCTGTGCTCTCGGCCAATCGGACGGCTTCGTTGAATGTTGTCGGGCGGTTTCGGCGCACCTCGAACTGTATCTCGTACTTGAGGCCGCTGATGTATTTATCCAACCGCTCCGCCTCCGCCATGTCGTCCACTTGGTCCGCGAGCGCCATAAACGACGCCGTGTAGTCTTGAACAGAAGCCAACTGCGACCAGGTACGCAGCTTCATGCGAGCGTGTTCCGAGGCGGATACATGCTCGAAACGCTCTCGTAAGGCTGCGCCCCACTGTTTCCACGTGCGAATTGTGGCCACACCGAATATTGATGATGCCCTCCCAATAGCAGAGTCCGAAGTCCCGTCTGCCGCATGTGTCACACCTGTCGGGGTCCCCGTGTCCAAGGTTCGTCGCCACCACTCAAGCGCCGGGCCTTGAAGAAGCGATACCGCGTAATTAATACGCGTGGCGTCGTCGTTGACATTCGCTGCAGTGAAGAACACCTCCACGCCGAACAACCACCCCTTAACTGCTGTCTGTAGGGTTGAACGGGGGCGGGCTCGTAGGCTTTATCTTGATTGTTGTCACTGCAACTGTTGTCGCTGCCGCCGCTCGCTGCCTATCTTCTTCTTCGAAGCCGCGTGTGAGCTCCTCCAACGGATTGCCGCTCACCGCTTGACCAGTGCTCTCGCCTTCTTCAGCGGGCGACTCCTGGCGCGCTTCACCTCGCGCCTGGCGTAGCTCGTTGTTTTCTTCACGTAGTCTCTCCACTTCTGTCGTTAACGCCTTCATGCCTGCCGACATTTCTGCCACTTGCTGCATAAGTTTGTTGAACGCCTCCTGGTCCATGAGTCGCAAGCTACGTCTAACAGGCAACTGGGTACCCGTGATTATCCGGCAACAGTGCAAGCGCAAAAGCTATCGGAGTCGGGCAAGTTTAATTTAATAAACTTTGCAACCAACCGCTTTGCAGCCCACCGTACCAATCACACCCGTGCCACTAAACTACCCTGGAAAAGCGGGGTGAACTAGGAAAGTAGCTCTGATACCAGGTGTTATGAGTTGTCAAACAGAGTTGCGCGGAATAACGAATAACGAGGCTGTGACTCAATGAAACTGACGATACAATGAAAGGCATGCGATTATATAGCGAGGCAACCTAGCTAGGCGGGAACCTCGGGAACACGAGGTTGAGTGCAGGTTGGGCAAAGGAAAGCCGAAGGCGACGCGAGGTTGCTTCGGCAGCAAGCAAAGCGGCCGAACGTGCACTTCCGAAAGTTGGGGTTGTACGCGGTTGAGGAAACCCGAGTAAGGAAAAAAGGGTTTTCCTTACAATGTAGAAAGAGATTTACATAGTGTTTTGAGCGTATTTTGTTCTAATGCCCGAGGCTGGGCTTCACGAAATACGTAACGAGTAGGTTCGTCGTCGCTCGCGAACAGATTTTCGCCCATCCGAACCAGATCGAACCCAAACCGACATATGAGAACCGCTGAGCTCAATTTTCGGGTTCCCACTTCTTTTGATGACCTCGGCTGCCACAACCTTATCAAGACCTAATGACGCGTTACCTCAGTGACGCCGCCTATAGAACCGTGGCGCGCAATCAGAAGGCGAATGCTCGCATGCGAAGACGATTCTCGTCTCATGACGCGTCGGGTCGCCACAATTTCATGTCGCCGCGCGATGCTGCTCAGCGCGATTCGTGCAGCAAGGGAGTCAGTGTGTGCAAGGCCGCATCTCAGCTCGTGCAGGCAGGACTTCCGGGATTTAGTCCCCATCGCAGCTGGTGCCGTCGAAATTCGCTCCCGTGACTTCCGATTTTGTCTCCCACGAAATTAACCTTGGAGCCGAACAGCGGATCTTAGGATCGTATCTTGCCGCTCCAGGCCATGGCCGCCGTGGCGCCGTCATATCGCCTGCCGCCTGAAGCGGAGTGCACGGCCCTCGCCTGCACCGAATGCTCCTTCTGCTTCATCATCCCGCGGACCTCGCTGCTGAACTCCACGCTGCCCGGCGCTAATCATGTATCCTGCCCATTGTGCCGTTCCCCGTGTCACGAGCTCCCTTCCGCAGGCAGTATCAGCGGCAGCAGCAGCGACGCGTCTACGGGGAAGGAAATCATGCCAGGCGTGGTTGAAGCAGGGCTCCTTAATGAGGGCGCTGCTGCTGTGAAGAGTGGCTTGGTGACTGCGGAGGGCGAAGAGGGCTTTGTCGACTCTGTAATGGTGCAGGCAGTCGGCTGTGCGGAAAACAACACCGAAAGTGATGGGGCTGATGGGGCCGAACGGGAAGAGCGTGGCAAGCGCGCGGAAGATCCTTCGGAAACGAAGGCAGAGGCAGGGGATATGGTAGGTGAGGGAGACGCTGGGAAAGGCAAGGGGAAAGTGGGAGAGATGGAAAGTGCAGGAAAGGAGCACGTGGTGGCAACTGAGATGGATGGCGGCGACGGTGAGGATGCTGGTTTGGCTGGGGCTGGCGGTGCGGGGGGAAGTGCTGTTGCTGCGAGCACTGGCGTGCCGGCAGCAGCAGCGAGTGAGGGGGGAGCAGAAGGGGGGGAAGCAGAAGAGAGGGAAGCAGCAAGTGAGGGGGAAGCAGAAGAGGGTGAAGCAGCAAGTGCGTCCGTCACCCCAGTGGCGCCGGCAGCTCCTGTGGCAGCAGTATCAGCAACGGTGCCAACCACAGCACCCATTGCTCCCCCTATGGCAGAACCCTTGATCCAATCATCAGCGCCAGCAGCAGCCCCAGCAGCAGCTGGGGAAGGAGCAGGAGCAGCTCAGGGAAGGCACGCATCAAGCCAACAGGGGCCGCCTAATGCACGCTCGGCCGTGGCGCAACACAGGGAGCATGGCGCCAATCCTCGTAATGACAACGGCGGGGGTTATGCCTACCAGAGAATGATGATGGGCGGTGGCAGTGGCAGCGGGCCAGATGACGGGCTGGAGAACGTGGTGGTTGTAGGGCTGTCAGCACTTCTCGCCGCAGGCGCTTTCTTTCTCACGAAGAAGGCTGATAAACCCCCTCCCAAACGGCGGTGGGCCTTCTTCTGATAGTACAGTAGGTTGGTTTGTCAGTGTACTTCAGTGACGGTTTGGTTCAGTTCAGATCAGATCAGAGCCTATGTAAATACGACGAGAGAGGTTACTACCATACGTAGCGTACTTCCATATGGCATAAAGGAGAATTCTAGTACCGTACTAGTTACGTGCAGTAGAAGGACGTAGCTTGCTGGTGATGATCGTGTTGACATCATTCAAGACTTTTAGGACACACAGAAGAATACATGTGCGGTTCCATGCCCCCTTCCTTTTATGCTAAGTACTGGTACTTGATTCGGCGTTCCTGAACCTCCCACCCCAGGTTTCAGCTCCCCTATCTACTCATCCTTTGGCGAGTAGGTCGAAATGAGCACCAGGTCCTTGTGTTTGGTCGAGTACTCTATCATAGTCTCCCTCTTCTCCGTCACGAATTCAGTGCTCTTCTCCATGTACTCCAGATACTCCGGACATCCCGGAATGAGGATATTGTCAGCCACGATGACGGTTCCAGGCCCGATGAGTTTATGCTCCTTGAGGAATAAGAGGTCCGGGACATATAGATCCTTCCAGTGATCGATGAAGACAAAATCGAACGGAATCTTGCTCGCAGCTTGCCGAATCTCGTCAGTTGAGGTTTGCAGCGTGCCTATAACGACGGTAACTTTGTCGCTGAGGCCCGCGTGAGCAACCATGCCGCGGATGGTGTTCGAGCGAACTTCGCTCGGCTCGATAGAAATCAGCCGAGCTCCCGGCTTGGTAAAAAGACGTGCGATTCGAACCGCCGAGTACCCGCAGAACCCGCCAAGCTCGATTGCGCTGAACGGATTTGCCTGGCGGACGCCATCGTCTAGGATTTCGCCCTTCACGTCGCCAACGTTCATGAAGAAGTCATTGCTGGACCACGCGTACGCGTCGATCGCGTTGATCACGGCTTGCGGGTCGTTGGCTGGCGTTGTTTTCGTCACGTGCTCCAGCAGCCGAGCCTCCTGGCCTTCTGACTCCTTCCCCAGCACCCGTTCATCCTCGCGGTTCACAACTCCCTCAGGCACCATGGCTGACGATTTCGTCTGTGTCTAGGTATGCGAGGGAGAACCGCAAAACAGATCACAATTGGTAGCTTGGAGGCAGGAGCGCAAAATGGTATTTCTGAGCTGAGATCAACGTAATTTAGACCTGAAAGAAAGCAGGCGACAGATGCAAGATCTATTGAACCTCCTGGAAGCTAGTGGGGGGAATCAACAGCGCGCAACGGCCAGGAGCCGGCAAGCCTGAAGAGTCTTTCCGAAAAAAAAAAACTATTTCGTCGATTCACCCTTCTGCGAAATAACCGTATTGATTTCGCAGGACGAGGAGTAACACGGTGGCTGGAAGCGACCCAACTTCACCTGTGGTCTCTAGCGTGCCAAGTCATCCGTCCAGTTGTGCCTTACGGACCACCGGAGTCGTTGGATCAATGCTGCGTATGTTCCTCGATTTGTGCTCCCGGCCAGAAATCCAGCCCTAGCAGCGAATGGTTGCATTCATTTCTGGATTTCTGGTTACCAGCAAGCGATTCGCAAAACCAACTTAGGCCGAAAGCGGTGCATGCGCGAAAAACAGATATACCAATGAGATATCCGGGCTTGTGCCAGAACTTTCGCCGAGCTCCATTCGCTTCCTTGAATTTGTAGTAAGGGCGGGGGCAGCGCGTTCATTTTCTTGGCTTAGCCCGAAACAGTTACCAGATTCAGCATTCTAGCTGCTCGTATACCTATGACACGTCCTCGGAACATTTATGCAAGAAACTCAATGAACGTGTAATACCTGTCAAGTCGCCCCGAGTATTAAAATTCTCGTCTCGCGATTACTACGCTGACGTTTCGCAAGCTTCACTTGCTGGTACTGACTGACGGATCCCGTCGCGCGGCCAGGATGGCGTCATTATGCGTGCCGAATCCACTATCTGCTAATGCAATTGCCATCTCTCGCACCATCACCGCAGCCTCCCACTCTATGTCAGCCAATCTGTCATGTCCCTACTTCGATCGCCGAATCTTATCGGCCCACACGACGTCATGTCACGTTGGCCATGCAACGTCTCCTTTGAAATCAATATTAGGCGACAGTATAGGAAGCGGATTGGCCCAGCATTTCTCGAACCGAGCGCTCGACAGAAGAGCTACAACCGCAGCGCGATCGCAGGGGGATCGTCGCTACTCGCACCCGAGCTCACGATTCAACTGGCGATCGCGACGAAAACCAGACGGCGACGATGCGACGACCGCGCCGGATGACACGCCGATTGGTCAACGCGAACGAGCGGCCGCGGAAGGCGGCGAGCCGAGCGGACACAGTCCCGGATGGGGCTCGCCGGTGTGGCAGTCGAACAGCGACGCGGAGGAGGAGGATTCGGACGGATCAGGGGCGGGGCGGAGTGGGAAGGCGGCGCGGAAGTCGTCTATCTCGCACATCCTCACTCCCGACGGCAAAGCCTTCAGGTGACCGTTGGTCAATGCGTTGTCGTGTCGTCACCCTTGCGTGCCGCCTTGCTCTGTCTCAACGAGCGAATGATGTCATTTGCTTCAGCAATTGCAAACCATAGCTTTTTGTTCTCAGATTTTGAGCGCCAATGCGGGTTGGAAGATCGATAGGGAGGGAGGAGCAATAGTTCAGATACGATCTGGGTGTTGCTGGGTCCCGGCAGAGTCGCTTCGTTTGTCACGATGTGTCTTGCTCTCTTGTATTGGTTTTCTCACACGCTCCCAAACACGCCCTCAAGCGCATTCCGCAAGGCGACTCCTCCGTGACGCGTGCCTTTCCTCCGCATTCCCTTCCCGCACTACTCCCCCACCCCCCCCCCCCCCCCCGTCGTGTGCACGGGCAGGCCGCATCGCATCATTCTGGTGCGGCACGGGCAGAGCGAGGGCAACGTGGACGAGGCGGCATACCAATCCCCCGCATTCCCCTCCCCCACCGCCTTTCCCACCATTCCCTTCCCCCACCGCCCTTCCCCACCTGTGCTCACGCAAGCAGGCCGCATCGCATCATTCTGGTGCGACACGGGCAGAGCGAGGGCAATGTGGACGAGGCGGCATACACTCGCATCCCCGACTCCAAGATCGCGCTCACCCGCAAGGTAGCCATGAGCTGACACGTGCTTCCTTCATTCATCCGTTCATGAATTGCGGATCATGAGGAGAGGTAAGAACGGTGGCATGTGGGCCAGGCCACTTCTATGCAAATTCCCGACTCCAAGGTTGCTCTCACTGGACCAACTGAGAGCCCTTATTCAACCAAGGAACGGTCACTCTCTTACACGAATCAAAGCCGCCGCTGACTCGAAGAGCTTGCTGCATGCTGCTCCTCCTGTTTATTCTGCACTGTTCCGCAATTTCATGACTCACTCCCCCTACGCAAAGGCCGTAGGCACTGTGTCGTGGGTGTGCCATCCCATCCGCACTGCGTGCCTTCTTGTGTGGGTCTACTCGTGGGGTGCTTGAACTGCGGTGTGCCATTGTAACGAGGTGACTATTGAGTCGACTCAAAAATCCCATCCACACCGCTTGCCTGCTTGTGTGGGTCTTCGCATGGGGTGCCTAACCCGGGGAGTGCAGGGATGGGAGCAGGTGGTGGAGAGGGGGAGGAAGCTGCGCGAGCTGATAGAGTTGGACGGTGGGGGAGGGTGAATGGGGACCACCATTGTAGTCCGTATGCAATCTCCCCTCACTGCTTGCTTGCTTGCTTGCTTCTTTCTACCCATGGGGTGCTTGATCTGGGGGGTGCAGGGATGGGAGCAGGCGGTGGAGAGGGGCAGGAAGCTGCGCGAGCTGATAGAGGCGGATGGGGAGGAGGACTTCAAGGTCTACTTCTATGTCTCGCCCTACACACGCACGCTGCAGGTACGACCCTCACTGGCCCTCGTATTGCAGGTGAGCCCCCCTCCTTGCCTTTACCAGGATAGAGGCGGACGGAGAGGAGGACTTCAAGGTCTACTTCTACGTCTCGCCCTACACACGCACGCTGCAGGTGAGATCTTCGCTGGACCTCGCCCTACACACGCACTCTGCAGGTGCCTCCTCCTGTTGCTGCCCTTCATTGTGCTGCTCGTGTCCCATCGATATCTCTCTGTTGCCTTCAGCTCACGCTGTGACTGCATTGTGTGGGATAGTGTGGCATTGTGTGGGATTGTGTGGGATTGTGAGGGATTTTGTGGGATTGTGAGGGATTTTGTGGGATTGTATGGGATTGTGTGGGATTGTGTGTGTATGTGTGTGATTGTGTGTGATTGTATGGAATTGTGTTGCACTATGTGGGATTGTGAGGGATTGTGTGGGATTGTGTGGGATTGTGTGGGATTGTGTGGGATTGTGTGGGACTGTGTTGGGACTGTGAGGGATTGTGTGGGAGTGTGAGGGATTGTGTGGGATTGTGTGGAATTGTGAGGGATTGTGTGGGATTGTGTGGGATTATGTGGCAGTTTTTACAATTCTTTCCGAGAGAATCCATCAGCTTTGTTCTCTGTGAATGTCCTCACCTTTCTTCCCTCCACCTACCTATGCCTCCTATCTTCACCGTCCATCGCCTCCTTTCATTCTCTCCTCCCATTTCCTTATCCTGCACCCTCATTGATAGACTCACGCTCTTGGAGACATGGGCTAGGCGTCTGAGAGAGAAGGGCAGGCGTGGCAGAGTCCACTTCCTCGCATTCTCATCCGCGTGTTTTCCACCTCCTATCATCTCCTGCTCCTGCTCTTGCCTTCAGACCCTCAGGGGAGTGGGCTTGGCGTTTGAGAGGGAGAGGATAGCGGGTGTGAGGGAGGAGCCCCGCATCCGCGAGCAGGACTTTGGTACGCGCGCCTCCTCTCACTGCGCGCATTGTCTGGTACCCATTCCCTCACCCGTGCCTCCTTCTTCCTACTCCTGATCCCTCCTTCTTCCCCCTCCTTCTCTCCCTCCCTCTCTCCGTACCTCCCTGCTTCCCTCCCTTTCTCCCCCTCCCTCACTCCATGTCTCCATTCCTTGTCTTGTTTTCACTTTCTTCCCCACCCCCGAATTCTCTCTTTCTTCTCTGAATCCACTCATGCATTACTCATGTTCTCCCCATGTTTCCCCCCCCACACGCTGGTCCGCCTGTCTCCAGGCAACTTCCAGGACAGGGAGAAGATGAGGAGGGAGAAGAAGGTGCGGCTGAGCTACGGGCGCTTCTTCTACCGCTTCCCTGATGGCGAGTCCGCTGCTGACGTATATGATCGCGTCACAGGTGCGTGCGCTTATAGGAGCACACACTAAATACACAGGTGCGGCCGTGTGAGAGCGTGTCACAGGTGTGCTTGTTGGAGCACATTGAGATACATAGGCGCGCGTGTCAAAGGTGCGCTTCCCTGATGGCGAGTCCGCTGCCGACGTCTACGATCGCGTCACAGGTGCGTTCATAGGAGCACAGTGAGGCACACAGGTGCACGCGTGTCAAAGATGAGGAGGGAGAAGAAGGTTCGGCTGAGCTACGGGCGCTTCTTCTACCGCTTCCCCGACGGCGAGTCCGCTGCTGACGTCTACGATCGCGTCACAGGTGCGTGCGCTTATAGGAGCACACACTAAATACACAGGTGCGGCCGTGTGAGAGCGTGTCACAGGTGTGCTTGTTGGAGCACATTGAGATACATAGGCGCGCGTGTCAAAGGTGCGCTTCCCTGATGGCGAGTCCGCTGCCGACGTCTACGATCGCGTCACAGGTGCGCTGGGAGGAGCGCAGTGAGTGGCAAAGGTGCGACCGCGGCACAGGTGCGACCGCGTCACAGGTGCGACCGCGGCACAGGTAAGCTTTTTGGTTACCACTCCGACTGTGTGGGTCTCGTTGGCGCTGCAGCCACTCCGTTCAGCCTGAATCCCAGACTGCTCCTCATGCCATGCCATGCACGCACTGCATTCGTGCGTCCAACATCTCCCCCACCCGGCACGCCAGGCTTCCGGGAGACGCTAAGAGCGGACATAGACGTGGGGTGGTTTCAGAGCGAGGAAGCAGCAGCACGCATGGTGGTGCCTCGTTCTCCCATTCCCACACCCTTCCCCCCCTCCCATCCCACCATCCCAGGTTTCCGGGAGGCACTGTTGGCAGACATAGACGTGGGGCGGTTCCAGAGGGAGGAGGCAGCAGCCAGTTTGTGCCATACCCTCCCATCCCAGATCCGCCCATCCCTCCTCACACAACCCCCTTCCCGATCCCCAAATCCCGGCTTGCCAGGCTTCCGGGAGACGCTAAGGGCGGACATAGATGTGGGGCGGTTCCAGAGGGAGGAGGCAGCAGCGCGCAACATGAATCTGGTGCTGGTGTCACACGGACTCACCCTGCGCGTCTTCCTCATGCGGTGGTACAAGTGGACTGTGGAGCAGTTCGAGGGGCTTTACAACTTTCCTAATGCCGGCTGCATGATCATGCAGCTGGGCCCTGGTGGCAGGTATGCTGCTTTCAGTGGTTGATTACTGAGTGGTGGCATGTTGTGTGCGCTGTTACAAGTCTTCCTCATGCGGTGGTACAAGTGGACTGTGGAGCAGTTCGAGGGGCTCTACAACTTTCCTACGCTGGATGCATGATCATGCAGCTGGGGCCGGGCGGCAGGTATGCTGATGCAGGTCAAGTTGTGTGTCTTCCAGTGGTTGAGTGCATTAAGTGATGGCAGGCTGCACGCGCTGGTTACTACATGTGTTTTCGGTACGCTGGTAGCAGTATGGGATCATGGGACAGGCCTTGGTTGGTTGGGTGTATAGGATGCTGGTCGTGCATTGTCATGCACACGCATGCACTCAAACCTCATCCATGCCATTTCTTTTCCTTGATAACCCACTCCCTCTTGCATGCGTTTCCCCACCTTTTTCCCTCCCTGCATTCACCCCATTCCTTCATCTTTCTCACTCTATCTCCTTCACAGTGTCGCTCACCTTGCTGTCTATGATTGTTTTGACCGTTTCTCCCTCGCCTCCCTTCCCTCCATTTTATTCTTATCCAGCTGGCACATGATTCTCACCCAAGCATGCACCCACAGCTTCTTCTCTTCTCCTCCGTTTCTATTTCCTCCTCTTACCCTGTCGCGCTCCTCTCACCCATACCCAACCCCTCTTACTCACCCACGCTCACCCCCTTCTGCAGGCACAACTTGCGCATGCACCACAGTCGGGAGGAGCTGAGGGCCTCACCATTTCACAACCTTTCCCTCTCAACCATGCCCACCCCCTTCCACTCACCCTGTCCTCACTCACCTGTGCATGTCCCCTCTGCAGGTACAGCCTGCGCATGCATCACAGTCGGGAGGAGCTGAGGGCATTCGGAATGACGGAGAGCATGATCGACGACCAGGAGTGGTGAGCCTCATGCTCCTGTGTTTGCTCACCTGAAAAAAAAACACCCTAGGAATCCACTCTCAGACCTCTGTAAAAAGCAAACCTGAGAAGCGCAGCATGCTCTGATGGACGTAGGTCTGAGTGTCCTGTTTTATCCTTCTCCCCTGTGCTTGCCTTCGAGTCAGTTGTCCTTTTCAAGGGCTGCTTCCACCACTGGAGTCTCACAAAAAAAAAAAAAAAAAAAAATGCTGCCTGAACACAAACGTTTGGGCTGAAACCACATCTGAAACCACCTCTGTATTGCCTGCTATTCCACTGTTTCATTCTGTTGCCTGCCATCCCTCCAGGCAAATTTTGGCCAAGTTGGGGATTTGAACCCTTCGGGGGTTCTTCGACCACTTTGATGAGAGTGAGGAGTGCGGCATCACACTCAGCTCTCTGGTGCTTGCTCTCCATTGTATTGCCTGCCATGATCCATCCCTCCAGGCAAATCACGGCCAAGCCGGGGGATTTGAACCCGGGCTGGCTGACATCAGGGGCGGGGTTTTTCGACCATTTTGATGAGAACGAGGAGTGCGGCATTCAGCGCGACTACATGTGCAAAGGCATCTCGGAGTTATGCGAGGAGGAATTCGGCGATGGTGTATATCGCAATCATTGATTGATTTATCGCAGAGGTGAGTATTTGTCGCAAAGCAAACAAAGATTGGATAATTCAGAATCCCACAATAGAAAATGCACATGTCCTTGTTAGCCATACTACAGGCTAGGCGATACTGCTGGTATTTCCTTCACATAATGACAGTGTATACATAGATCTACAGTCAAGATTTGTACATGCATCAGGCCGAATTTGTGCCTGTGAAGATCAGTTGAAGGGAAATATTATAACTTAACGTTATCCATCATGCCTCCACTCAATATATGTATTCATTTTCCCATTTACCCATGCAAAGAAAAAGAAATATGTGTAACAACGTTGTGATGGATCAGCTCGCAGTGCGTATATGGTTGGTTGGTGCGACAGGCACAATTGCAGGGAGGTGAGTCAGAATTGGTCAACCCAGCCATCACATGCCATCTGTCACCGACGATTGTTCACCGACGTGTTGGACCGACTGTCACGATTTCGCTCACGTCCACTGAACCTCCGAGAACCTTGTGCGTGCCTCACCGAGCTCGTGATATTTTTCTGAAAGCAGAAACATGTCGCACCCTCGCAAGTTTTTCGCATCATGTCTGTGGGCGAAAGCGCAACACGGTAACGGAACGGAGACTTACTCCGATGATGTCGAGACTGGAGATGGGTGGGCATCGCGCCGCGCGAGATGTGAGGTTGGATGGAATGGGGATGGGAAGTTCGCTGCTTGCTGCCTGCCCCTCTCATCGCTTACATCTTGCGCGACACGCACATCATCGCGTGCATAGATGAACGCAGAGTGCCGCGAAACATAAAGATGACTTCAACCAACCATGGCTGCCGCGTAACCGCTCGATCTAGTAGAGAGCTTTATGAGGGCCTCGCCGACCAGTGCAGTGATGCATATGCATCTAGTTTGAAAGAAGCATTCGATCAGTGTCAGCTCAACCCGCTAAAACAGCCCGTTACCGTCGAGGTGTAGCCGACTCAAAAAGCGTGTCAGATATAATCGCCTGTCACGGGCCGCATGGTCCGTTGAGGGCATGTACGGCCTGCACCGCATCGAGTCCTCCATCCGCCATCGTAGGAACTCACATCTCCCAACGGCTCGCATGCACCTCCTAAAGCCATTATATAGCTCTCACAATCACAGAGCCTACGCAGTACCGCTTGCACGGCCGAGCTATCGATTACTCTTTCCGCAGCACCAAGTCGCTGTGAGTCGCACAGCCTCGCAGCCGAAACGGAAACTCGCGGTAGAATTCTCACCGCCGCCAGGCGCGCAGATTGCCGCCTGGCCTCGCTCTCCCCGCCGCACTCGTTCCGCTTCTCATCCCCGCGCCGGCCATGGCGTCGACGGCTTTCCCCTCGCTCTCCTCCACTGTAGCCCCTCCGCCCTCCGCCCTCTGGTCCGCCAACCTCTCCGTGAGTCCCCCCAGCCTTCCCCCGTCAGGGCGCTTGCGCCGCTATCTATATCTGCGCCAGCTCTCCGCCTGCACTTCGCGCTCAGACGCGGCGGCTGCACTTCTGCCGTTGCTCACATCTTGTCCACTTCCTCATTAGTCCTCCCAACTAGCCCCGTTAATAGTCTCTAACTTCAATCTGCTGAAACCCCCACTTTTGCCCTTTTCCTTCACATCTTCCCTCACCTCACCCCACCTACAGGCACCGTACCCGACGAACGCGCCGTGGCAGAACTTCGTGCTAGGCCAGGGCGGCAGCCCGGAGCTCGTGAGCCCGTACGTCGTGCAAAGCGGCGACGGGCGCGTCGCGTGGGGAATACCGGTGCGCAACGCGCAGCCGGCATATATCATCCAGGCGTTTATCACCAACCTCATGCTCTCCACGCTGCAAGGCCTTCCGCCGCACCAGGTTTCCGCCTACGACGATCTCTCCGTTACCCTCTCCTTCCGTCAGCCCTCCGCCGGGCCCTCCGCGCCCCCCGCGCTCGTGGTTCCGCTGGTGCGCGGGTCGCCTTATTTGACTTTTATATTCCCCCAGGGCGGCCCCCCCGCGACGCCCGTGCTCAAGACGATCCATGCGATTCTGAGCGTGCAGGCGATCGGAGACAGCAAGTACCGCGTCGCGCTCAACAACGGACAGGTGAGATCGCCGCGTTTACTGCGCAGCTCTCTACGCGCTTCCGCCGCCCCTTCACTGGCGCTGGCCCCCTTCTTGGAATCGTGCGTCCAATCTGCCATCGTCCCGTTTCGCTTGCTTTGCTCATGCATGCTCCCCTGCTATTCTCCCTCCCACTTGCTTGCGACACCCGTGAAATTGAACCCAAGCCGACCTCCGATGCATTCACCGCGTTCACCGCGTTCCCTGCGTTCCCCGCGTTCCCCGCCACCTCCCCCGGTCGGCAGACTTGGCTGGTGTACCTATCATCGCCGCTTGCGCTGCGGCAGGACGGGTCGTCGATCGTGGCGGCCGCGCCGTTCACGGGGACGATGCGCATCGCGCTGCTGCCGGGCAACTCCCCGCAGCGCGAGGAGGCGCTCCTGGACGCGCACGTCGCGACGGTGCCGGTGGGCGGGCGCGCGCGGGTGGGCGCGTTCCGCATCAAGTTGAGCTGGCGCACGCAGCAGTGGCGCAAGCTGGCTCCCGGCGACTCCAAGACGCCGCTGCTCATGCTGTCGCTGCCAGGTCAGTTGCGGTTTGCCACGTGTACTGCCATATGTGCTGGCATTTGCGCCACTTGTATCGCCCGTGCCACCTATTCATCTGAAATGCCATCACAAGCGCCGCCCACGCTGCTGTAGTCTCTATTTTCACGCATCACTCTCATCATGACAAAAACAACGCATGGCTAGAATCCATGTCGTAGACCACCTCTCTTGCATCTATGCGCGAAGACCCTCGTACAAGGAACTAAAAGAAATCTTTTGAAGTAGATTGTGTGAAGATCTATTGTTTGCCCTCCTGCGTCGTCTGTCCATTCTAAGGCAATATCACCATCCCCCGTTTTCTCCCCCATGAGCAGTGCACCGTCGCCTGCGAGTGTTCGCGCACAACCCCACCCCCGCCACTGCCCTCCGCCGTCAGCGCAGCGTCTCCCCTTCCGATGACGGCACGGCTGCCATCCGCGTCTCCGCGCCGGCCGGCCTCTCCTCCACGCGCGCCGATGGCGGGTGGGGCGCGACGGGGTGGGACTCGGACAGCAGCAGCAGCGGCAGCAGCAGTGACGGTCAAACGGAGTCCTTCCCAACTGCACAGGGCAGTGCAGCATCAACAGCAGTATCCAGCGCAAGCGACCCGACTGCGTCGAACCAGGCAGCCATGGCCTGGACATCAGCGTCGTCGTCCGCGTCAGGCGCGCCGCAGCAGGAGACGGTGCTGTGGTATCCCACCATCGACGGGCGCGCAGTCGGCGTGAAAGGCGCGGTGTGGGATCTCAAAGTGCCGAAGACGCCCACCACGTGGCACTCTCCCAGCCTCTCGTCCGACCCGCAGTTGACGGACGCGCTTCGGGCGAGTCTGAAGCAGGACGTCGCAGCGCTCCCGCCGCTCACCACGGCCTCGACGTACTTCTTCGGCAAGGCCGCGGCACGCGCGGCGCGCCTCGCGCTGATCGCGGAGCAGGTGCACGACGACGGCAGCCTCGCCGCGGTGCTGCCGCCGCTGCGCGACGCGCTGACAGCCTGGCTGAACGGAACCTTCCACGGAAACCGCCTGCTGTACGATCCCACGTGGGGCGGAGTGATTAGCGAAGCCGGGTCGCGCGATAAGGGCGCGGATTTCGGCCTAGGTATGTACAACGATCATCATTTCCACTACGGCTACTTCGTCTACGCGGCCGCGACCGTCGCGAAATTCGATCCGATGTGGGGTAACCAGTATCGCGCGCAGCTCGCGGCGCTCGTCGCGGATTACATGTCAGTGAACCGAACCGCGGCGTTCCCAAGGCTGAGGCACTTCGACGCGTACGCGCTACACTCGTGGGCGAGCGGGCTGTTCGACTTCGCGGACGGGCGCAACCAGGAGAGCTTCAGCGAAGCCGCGAACGCCTACTACGCCGCGTCGCTCCTCGCGTTCACCTTCGGGGACCTCCCATTGGCCACGCTCGGCGCCACGCTGGCAGCCGTGGAGGCCGTAGCGGGGCAGACGTTGATGCAGGTGCCGGTAGCGGGGAGTTCCGCGTCCCCCGCGCCGTCGCTGTCGCCCGCGTACGAGCCCGTATTCGCGGACGCGAATCGCATGTTAGGGATGGTGTGGTCGACGAAGCGCGACGCGGGGCTGTGGTTCGCGACACCTGCTGAGCTGGACAAGCGGGTGGGCATCCAGGTGCTGCCCATCACGCCCTTCCTCGCGCACCTCTTCCCCGATCGCGCGTACGCGCGCCAGCTGGTGGAGTGGGCGCAGCCGGTGCTGAGCGGGAGCGGAGTGACGGACGAGTGGCGGGGCTTCGCGTGGGCGCTGCAGGCGCTGTATGATCCCCAGGGGGCGCGGAGTCGAATCGGCGCGCTGGGTGCTTTTGATGACGGCAATTCCAAAACGAACATGCTCTGGTGGCTCGCGTCCAACACGCCGTAGGTTGACTGAACAGACTGACTAGAATGCTTGTTATACTGATAGATTGATGGTCGTGCACAGGTCTGGGATGGGACGGCCCTCGCACAGCCTTACACAAGTACCGTATGTACTGCTATTTATACGTCTGCCTTCTTGACTACTTGACTTCCTTCCTTCCCTTCCAGATGCTGTAGCCATCTCGTGAAGCAGCCACCAGTGTTTGGATCAGTGATAAGGCCATTCAGAATCCGAGGCATTTTGAATGCCACAGATTAGAGCAGAGCAAGAGCCAACTTACTGGCACCTTTGCTCATCATCATACCATGGCATGGCAACAAGGTGGAAATCTACGGTATGAAGGGGATGGTGGCAGAGAACATCCCCACTTCCATAAAATTGGAAACCATCAGGTTTTCCTGCTCACAACACAACAATGATACCATATGTGGGGGTGGGGGGAGGCATGCTCAGTCGACTTCTCTAGCTGTATGGTGCCCCAGTATGTAATTGGCATTGTCTTACGGTCATCCCATGTGAACTAACTCTCTGCAAAATTGTCTTTCGCTAGTCCCGTGCCTTGTTGGTAAGGCAATTGTCAACCATCCGTGGGGGATACTCTAGAGGTCTCCATCCATACTTCAATAAACCCCTCTTCACATCACACATGCTGGCCATGGGTAGATTACTTCAGCAGGCAAAACTTACCGTACAAAAGCTGTACCCAGTGAGTATACGTGTTTCCAAATGCATCCTGATACATCTTATTGCAGTTTTTAATGCAAATGCACATGCCCCCACTGCCAAGGTAAGAGGGGTTAAGCAAAGGTGCGAGGCCCCCTGTCCTCATTGGTGGTTAGGCGGTACACCGCCTGTTATTATTGGTGGTGGTGATGCTGCTGCGGTTGTGCTGCTGACAATGTGGTTGGTGCAAGGGAGATGTGGCATGGCAGCAAAGGATGCTACGGTATGGTCACAGCAAGAGCAACAAGGGATGAGAGCGTGGGGAGGGAGTGGAGCGGCGGTTAGCTGGCAGCCCTGCGAGCCAGCAGCACTGAAGTGCCGGCAAAAGAGGCTGTCCCCACCGCTAAAGCCACAAGGGTTTGAGCTTTTCAGTCGACTCAAAAGTCACCTTAGGTCGACTGAAACGTGGCAGTGGAGTGGCAGTCAGCTGGCAGCCCTGCGAGCCAGCAGCATGGAAGTGCCGGCAAATGAAGCTGTCCCCACCGCCACTGCCACAAGAGCCGAAGCCACCCACTGGCTCACGGCTATGCTGTTGCTGGTACTGCTGTTGTAGCTGCTGCTGCTGCCGGTGCTGGTGAGGTTGGCAAACGAGAAGGCGGCGTGCCAGTATGAGGTGCGTTGAGGCGTTGATGGATGCTGCTGCGCCTCCTGCAGCAGCGTGCAGAGCGATTGAATCTGCACAGGTGAGATGAACCATGGGAGAGGAAGGGAGATGGAAGGTGCGCAAGGTGTTGAGGGTTCATGTGCAAGGTGTACTGAAATTCAGTCACAGAAAAAGTTGCACGATCCCATTACAGCTATGAGATTACCACAGGCTGAAATGGTGGGGAAGGGGCTGGCCATTGCCTTAGTAAGAAAGAGGATACGCATGCATTGCACAAGTCTGGCGTTGGAAGAATGGGTTTGGCGGGGAACAATCACATAAGATGTCCAACCCAATTTTGGCAAGCGTACATTCCCATGTGGCACATACAGAGTCAACAATGCACACTGGTTGCAGCGCCTGCTGTATTTCACGCACGTTGTGCCAACTCGCGTGCACTGCACTGCACTGGGCCAACACAGCTCACCATCAAAACTCACCCAGCTGAACCACGCAGCAGCGGATGCGTGTCTGGTGGCGCTGACCGAAAACAGGGGGATAAGGCTCTACCACCCTGCCACCAGCCCACCACCCTGCCACCCTGCCACCAGCCCACCACCCTGCCACCCTGCCACCACACCTCACCTGGCGAGTCATGTGCCGCTGCTGCTCCGCCACACCACTCACGTCCCTCCGCAGCCCACTCGCTCTCCCCCCACCCTCCCTCGCACTCTAGTGACTCGCCTCACTACAGAAAAACGTCTCAAAAGCCAGACCCTCACCTGGTGAGTCATGTGGCGCTGTTGCTCCGCCACGGCACTCACGTCCCTCTGCAGCCCACTCCCTCCGCCCCCACCCTCCCTCGCACTCCTGTCACCATCCTGCCCCAGCGGAACAAACACCCCACCATTCTGCGCTGTGTCACCACCACTTGAAACCTGTTTCCCCTGCAGACCGCTCTCAGCCACTTGCTCCCCATGCCCCTCTGCTCGACTGGCAAGGCTGGATACAGGTGGTTTACTGCTGCCAGCAGTGCTGCGTGCCTGGCCAACCTGCTCCAAGCGCAGCAACAGCTGATCCATCTGCTGTGTGATGCTCGCTAGCTTGCCCTCCACGGCCTCATTGCTCTGCAGCTGCACACCAAGGAAAAAGGGGAAGGTACAGGATAACACAGGCAGGAAAGAGGTGACGTTAACAGCCGGTCCATCTGCTGTGTGAGGCTCGCCAGCTTGCCCTCTACCGCCTCGTTACTCTGCAGCTGCACAGGTGGAGAGCACAACACAATGGGGGGGGGATGTGAAAGGTGAGTCAACTAGTGGCTCGACGCAACAGCTGGTCCATCTGCTGTGCGATGCTCGCTAGCTTGCCCTCCACCACCTCGTTGCTCTGCAGCTGGGCACGTGGACAACAAAGGACAACACAGCACCACACAGCACAGTACAGTACAGCACAGCACAGCACCGCACAGCACAGCACAGCACAGCACAGCACAGCACAGCACAGCACAGCACAGCACAGCACAGCACAGCACAGAACAGCACAGCACAGCACAGAACAGCACAGCACAGCACAGCACAGCACAGCACAGCACAGCACAGCACAGCACAGCACAGCACAGCACAGCACAGCACAGCACAGCACAGCACAGCACAGCACAGCACAGCACAGCACAGCACAGCACAGCACAGCACAGCACAGCACAGCACAGCGCAGCGCAGCACAGCACAGCACCGCACAGCACAGCACAGCACAGCACAGCACCACACAGCACAGCAGAGCACAGCACAGCACCACACAGCACAGCACAGCACAGCACAGTACAGCACAGCACAGCACAGCACCACACAGCACAGCACAGCACAGCACAGCACAGCACAGCACAGCACAGCACAGCACAGCACAGCACAGCACAGCACAGCACAGCACAGCACAGCACAGCACAGCACAGCACAGCACAGCACAGCACAGCACAGCACAGCACCACACAGCACAGCACAGCACAGCACAGCACAGCACAGCACAGCACAGCACAGCACAGCACAGCACAGCACAGCACAGCACAGCACAGCACAGGGAGGAAGGAACGAGGTGATCTGTGAGTTGACTCAGCAGCCGGTCCATCGTCTGTGCGATGCTCACTAGCTTGCCCTCCACCGACTCGTTGCTCTGCAGCTGTGCATCAAGGGAGAGGGCAGATAGCACAGGAGGGAGAGGTGGGGTGTGCATGAAAAGGATAAGGGCAAGAAAAGGGGAGAAGAGTGAGAGAGCAGTATTTGCGATGCAGCAGTGTGCTCCTTGCAAAGCTGCAATCATGCAATGCGGCAATGATGCGGCTGCCGTACCATTTGTGCCACCGCTGATGCGGACAAAACCACTGGCGCCTGTTGCTGCTCCTCCTGCTGCTCCTCACCATTCCGCCCTTGACGACTGCGAGACGCGCCCCTCCCACCACCACGCCCTGCTGGGCTCGCTTCCACCACCCGCCTTCCCTGCCCTCCCTCTCTCCCCTGCCCTCCCTCACTCCCAAGCTCGGCGCTGCCGTCTTCCCCTTCCCCCCTGCTCCCCCTGGCGTCCAGTTTGAGCAGCTCCAGGGCAGTGGCAGAGCACGCAGAGCGCATGGTGCTGATCTCTGCCTTGGCTAGCGCTGCCGTGGGCGCTGGCATGCTGTGAGAGAGCGTAAGAGGGGGAGGGGGGATAGGAGAGAAGGAGGTAAGGGGCAGAGAGGGGGGAGTACGACAGTAAGGTCCAGGGCAGTGGCAGAGCACGCAGAGCGCATGGTGCTGATCTCTGCCTTGGCTAGCGCTGCCGTGGGCGCTGGCATGCTGTGAGAGAGCGTAAGAGGGGGAGGGGGGATAGGAGAGAAGGAGGTAAGGGGCAGAGAGGGGGGAGTACGACAGTAAGGTCCAGGGCAGTGGCAGAGCACGCAGAACGCATGGTGCTGATCTCTGCCTTGGCTAGCGCTGCCGTGGGCGCTGGCATGCTGTGAGAGAGCGTAAGAGGGGGAGGGGGGATAGGAGAGAAGGAGGTAAGGGGCAGAGAGGGGGGAGTACGACAGTAAGGTCCAGGGCAGTGGCAGAGCAGGCAGAACGCATGGTGCTGATCTCCACCTTTGCCAGCGCTGCTGTGGAAACGCACATGCCATGAGTGGGTGAGTGCGGGAAAGTGGGGAGTGGGGGGAAGGGGGTTAGGCGGCACAGAAATCAGGGTGAGTGTATGAGCCTGCCTTGGCTAAAACACACGCAGGAGCAGAGCAGGCACGACGGCACGAGTGAGAAAGTGCCAGAGGCGAAAATTACTTTTGAGAATTCTCAAAAGGAAAGTGCAAGAGGCGCCAAATGAACCCAGCCAATCAGTGACAATGAGAGAACAGCAACAACATTCAGCAGTGGTCTACAATACCAAGGCAGACACCCAGCAGCAAGTGTTGAGAGGGAAGGCACGCACCTGTCTGGACATGGGTCCCCCTGTTCCATGGATGCTAGGCTCTTGCTGTGGTCAGGGGGTGCGGGGAAGGCGGGGAGGGCAGGGAGGGCAGGGAGAAGAAGGGGACAGACACAGTGGGAACACAAGTACGTGGCATGGCACACACCTGCAAGGCACACACCTGTCTGGAGATGGGTCTCCCTGTCCCATGGACGCTAGGCTCTTGCGGAGAGCACGACAGGCAGGGATGGAAGGGACGGGAGGGACACAGGGGCTGTCAGATTGCGCACACAGGGAAGCAACGATGCAAGGGGTGCAGATGGAGTGGAGGACAGAGCAGCTACAGCCCAGAGCAGCTACAGCCCAGAGCAGCTACAGCCCAGAGCAGCTACAGCCCAGAGCAGCTACAGCCCAGAGCAGCTACAGCCCAGAGCAGCTACAGCCCAGAGCAGCTACAGCCCAGAGCAGCTACAGCCCAGAGCAGCTACAGCCCAGAGCAGCTACAGCCCAGAGCAGCTACAGCCCAGAGCAGCTACAGCCCAGAGCAGCTACAGCCCAGAGCAGCTACAGCCCAGAGCAGCTACAGCCCAGAGCAGCTACAGCCCAGAGCAGCTACAGCCCAGAGCAGCTACAGCCCAGAGCAGCTACAGCCCAGAGCAGCTACAGCCCAGAGCAGCTACAGCCCAGAGCAGCTACAGCCCAGAGCAGCTACAGCCCAGAGCAGCTACAGCCCAGAGCAGCTACAGCCCAGAGCAGCTACAGCCCAGAGCAGCTACAGCCCAGAGCAGCTACAGCCCAGAGCAGCTACAGCCCAGAGCAGCTACAGCCCAGAGCAGCTACAGGCCAGAGTGGGCGCGGGATGGTTTTTTAAGAATTCTAACAAATCGCTCACAAGAGCAGCAACAGTGCAGAGTGGGCGCAGGATGGGGAGCAAGAGGGGAGGAGGAGGGCGGGGGGGAATAGGAAGGAAGACATAGAGAAACAGACAACAAATTGACCCCCGACTCCCACAACCGCCCTCATTCTGCTGATCCCGTCCCTCAGTTCCCCAGCTTGTCTCGTCTTGCCTGGCTTTTTCTAGAAGTTCCAATCCCCTCACTCCCTCCCTCCCTTCATCCCCGTGCACGATTCATGGCGTGTCGAGCTTGTGGCCGCCGGCCGACCAGGAGGAGGAGTTTTGAGACGTCTTAAAACAGGAGGAGGAGGAGGAGGAGGAGGAGGAGGAGGAGGAGGAGGAGGAGGAGGAGGAGGAGGAGGAGGAGGAGGAGGAGGAGGAGGAGGAGGAGGAGGAGGAGGAGGAGGAGGAGTTGGAGGAGGGGGGATGGAGCAAGGCGGTGAAGGGAGGATACAGACAATGATGCGGCCCTAGCAAACCCCTCACCTCCCACCCTGCCCTCTCGAGTCTCACGTCTTGTCGAGCTTGTGGCCGCCAGCCGACCAGGAGGAGGAGGGGGCAACGGCAGAGGAGGAGGAGGCGGGCAAACAGGACGGTCAGGGGAGGATACAGAAACAGACACGACCCTTTAAACCCCTACCTACCCCCCCCACCTCCCTCTCCCCTTCCTCCCTCCCCTCCACATGTCTCACGTCTTGTCGAGCTTGTGGCCGCCTGCTGACCAGGAGGAGGAGGACAAGCACGACCCCTTGAAGCCCTACCTACCCTCTCACACACCTCCCTGCCTCCCTCCCCTGCGTGCATCTCACGTCTTGTCTAGCTTGTGGCCGCCTGCAGACCAGGAGGAGGAGGGGGCAACTGCAGAGGAAGAGGAGGAGGTGGGCGAGGCAAGGCGCGGCCCCACAGGCGGGCTGAAGGGCAGAATGTCGTCTGATATGCGTAGACGCGCCTTGAGCGCGCTGGAGGAGAGGGGGGACGGCTGGAGGGACGGGAGGTGAGGGAGGGAGGTGGAGGGTGGGAAGAGAGAAGCGGGCACGAAGGCACACGATGCTGAGGCTAAAGGGCAGAACGTCGTCTGATATGCGGAGGCGAGCCTTGAGTGCGTTGGAGGAGAGGGGGGACGGCTGGAGGGAGGGGAGGGGAAGAGGGTGAAAAGGCAGAGGGGGGTATGATGAGTTCACATGCGGCTAACCCATGGGCGAACTGAAGGGCAGTGTCGTCTGATATGCGCAAACGAGCCTTGAGCACGCTGGAGGAGAGTGGGGACGGCTGGCAAAGAGCGTTGGGGAAGGGAGAGGGGAGAGTGAAAAGAGGAAAGAATGGGACGTGAGAACGAAGATGTGATGGGTGGAAGAAGGGGAGGTGGTGCAGATGAGCTTTGAGTCGACTCAAAAGTTGAATTCCGAGTTTCAGGATGGTGTGAAGGAACTGCGCATACATAGTTAGCATGGATGGTGATTTGCACGATGACTGACTGGCGTACATCGGACTACCTGGTTGCTCTGGATCTCCTGCGTGAGGTGGTGAAGTTTGATATCCTCGATATAAGGATGCGAGATGTACCCCCCCTCCCCCTCCATGCCCAGCTGCTCCGCCACCTCCTTCACTCGCTTGCGGTCCTTGCCTATCACCTGCACGGGGAAGGGACACAGCACACAAGCACAACAAGTGGCTCTTTGGCTGGACAAATTCACGCGCTTGCGGTCCTTGCCTATCACCTGCACGGGGAAGGGACACAGCACACAAGCACAACAAGTGGCTCTTTGGCTGGACAAATTCACGCGCCTGCGGTCCTTGCCTATCACCTGCACGGGGAAGGTCACGACACACAAGCACAGCATGTGGCCCTTTAACATGCCAGTTTCACGCGCCTGCGGTCCTTGCCTATCACCTGCAGGAATCGACAGTGACACAGCAGGCAAGCACAACATGCGGCTCTTTGACGTGCCAGTTTCGACCGCGCGCGCTTGCGGTCCTTGCCTATCACCTGCAAGACAGGGACAGGAACAGACCACACACGCACAGAGTGAACTTCTTTGACTCGCCACCTCCTTCACTCGCTAGCGGTCCTTGCCTGTCACCTGCAGGAGAAGAATTAGAACAGACAAGCAAAGAATGAACCTCTTTGGCTCGCCAGGTTTACCCGCTGGCGATCCCTCTCAATGTACGATGTGAGCACGATGTGGACAAGCAAAGAATGAACCTATTTGGCTCGATGTGGACTCGCGGTGCATGGTGTGGGCTATCTCGTACCCCAGCGCCATCAGCTCTCAGACCCTCTCGGCCCCCCTCACCTGCACATAGGTGGCTTTAAGCTGCTCGATCTTGTCAATCTTCACGGACAGCGCGCTGCTCGCTTCTCCCTGCTTGCCCTGTTGCCGCAGCACCACGGACTCGGGGTGCATAGTGTCGGTGCCCCTAGAGCCACTAGCCCCTCCCTTCCCGAAACCACTCCCCTTCCCTTCCTCTTACCCCCTTCCCTCCCCTCACCTGCACGTAAGTGGCTTTCAGCTGCTCAATCTTGTCAATCTTCACAAAATACTGCCCTCGCCCTGTTCGCCCTGCTCTTTCAGCACGATGGACTTGCGGTGCACGATGTGGGCTATCTCGTATCTCGGCACCATCAGCCCCGATACTACCTCTCCCCCTCACCTGCACGTAAGTGGTTTTGAGCTGCTCAATCTTGTCAATCTTCACAGACAGCACGCTGCTGGCATCGCCCTGCTCTTTCAGCACGATGGACTCGCGGTGCACGATGTGCGCTATCTCGTACCCCAGCGCCATCAGCCCTCCCAGCAGCCGCACCGACACACTGAAGGTGATGCGCGGCGTGATTATAAAGGGGCCGTCCGTCACCCATTCCTGCCCATGGAAAGGAGGAGGGAAGGAGGGGCCGGGGCGAGAAAGGAGGGGTTGAGGGGGGTGTTGGGTGCCTGATGGGGTCTAGAGGCCGTCCGTTACCCATCCCAGTCAATGGCGGGTGGGGGAGCCGAGGGGAGGGTGCGAGGGGGGTGTTTGGTGCACGATGTGCGCTATCTCGTACCCCAGCGCCATCAGCCCTCCCAGCAGCCGCACCGACACACTGAAGGTGATGCGCGGCGTGATTATAAAGGGGCCGTCCGTCACCCATTCCTGCCAGAGAGGGGTGGGGGAGAGGACAGAGCGTTGTGGGGAGGGCGAAAGAGAAGGTTTGGTGCACAATGTGTGCTAGTTCGTATACCAGCACCATCAAACCCATGGCAGCTGCACTGCCACACCGTGACTTTTGAGTCGACTCAAAAGTCAATGTGTGCTGGTTCATATACCAGCGCCATCAAACCCATGGCAGCCGCACTGACACGCCGAAGAAGATGCGTGGTGTGATTGTTAAGGGGCCGTTCGTCGTTCACTCCTGCCAGTGAGACGTGGAGCGGGGAGAAATGAAGAGGGGGAGCGTTACGGGGGGATAGGACGGAGAACGGTTGGGGGTTGAATCTGGCAGCAGATGAGCAGCCTTGCATCGTCTAGGAGGGAGAGAGGAGCAGAGAGACGGAATGAGCGGACAGGGAGGTGACTCTTGAGTCGACTCAATAGTCACCTTGGCCAGGGGTTGAAACTGGCAGCAGACAAGCACCCTAGCATCGTCAAGGAGGGAGGAGGAGAGAGAAGGAAGGAGCAGATGGGGAGGTGGGCTGAGTGGGGGTGGGGAAGATATCGAGGTATGCATATGCACGCAAACGTTGACATTGGGTGACTACAATGCCAGGGGGTGAGCACACAGGGCATGGCCTCACCCACTGTGATATGGCTATAAAAAGAGTGACAGACAGGGTTAGGGGACTGGCTGGCATCTGTAAGAGACTATTAGGAAAATGAGGTTTGGGAAGGGAGGATGCGGGCACAAAAACGGGACCGCCAAGCGATAACTGATACAAATGAGTAATTCATTCTTAATGAGAGTGGAGTAAGGAAATATGGTCAAAAAGTGTCGAAAGTGGGATTTGAACCCACGCCCTTTCGGACTGGAACCTTAATCCAGCGCCTTAGACCAGACTTTATTTACAATGTTCCTAGGTACATGGGTTTATAGTATTTACAGTATGTACATGAGAGTTCTAGCTAGGAAACGGAGGTATGTACAAGACAGAAAATAACAGGATGACGATGATGTATGGATGATGGTTGACAGGTGAGAATGACATGGGTAAGTGCTGAAGTGATGACAAGGACTTAACAGGACAAACAGGTGATGACAGACTGAACAAGAACAGAACATGACAGACATGACAGACATACGCACACATGTGATGACACACAGGAAAGACACGACTCATGGCATTGCACATGCAACTAGGAAGTTGCTACTCCTATGCTACTCCAGATAAAACCAGCCAATGTCAAAAGCCCCCTTACATACGGGGGTTGTACAAGTAAACCAGATCAGGTGCCCCATCAGTGAAAGCTGCGTGCTGTGAAAAAGATGGGTCTTCACTTGAAATGCCCTCAGAAGAAGCGGGAAAAGCAGCTTCAACCCTGCGACGAATCGACCTAGCTTGCGCCCGTTGTAAAGCTATGGAGATGCGCACTGTGTAGGAACTGTCAAAGGCAGATGCAAGGACATCGTCTGCTGCTCCATTATCCTGGTGACTAGTTGCTGCCCGTTGGCTGCACTCCCGCAGAAAAGACCTAAAATCAGCACCCATGCATCCGAAAGTCTCCAGAACCAGAGGGATGAGTTTAACTGCAGGTCGGTCACGTAAAGCCCTAGCGTAATGAGACCGTTTCTCCGCCTCCCGCTGTTTTGCAGCCAACCCAACTGTGTGGACAACTGTTGGTGGTGCAGATGGGAGCTGTGGGTCAGCCACAGAGACGTCTAAGGCCCATTTGATCCCTGCTGATGGGTCCAGACATGTGACATCAGGTATAGCGTCAGGCAGTAACGTCGGGTCCTCCATGCGAACTGTGTATCCAAGCTCTCGAGCAATCCTAGCTACTTCGTGCTTAACAGCATCGTGCACTCTTGTTGGCTCATGGAGGTCAGGGCAGCGGAGCGCATGACTAGGGAGGGTGGGGTCAGAGTAGGTGTGTCCACAGGAGCAGGGTGGGGCGGGGTGGAGCGCCTTAGACCAACTCGGCCATCTCGACACATTCACATTGGACACAGTCACATCACAACGTGTTTCACACGCAACATGTGCTTTTGTCCTATCTGCTGTTCAGCATGCCTCATTCCCAACACTCACCTCAAACATGAGCGAGTAGCGCCCGTCACGGTTGCGCATGCGCAGGTACGACTGGCACGTGTCCTTGTCCTCCCCGGGCGGCAGCAGGTAGATCTCGTACGTCTCTACCTCCTCCCGCGTGTGCCCTCCTGCCAGCACTCCTCTCACCCGCTCCTCCCACCCCTCGCCCTCTGCTCGCGACTGCACGCTCCCACTCAGAAGCCAGGGGGGAAGAACAAGAGAAGAACGGGGGGAGTAAGCCTTGTGAGAAGGGAATGGGAACACAGAGGACAAGCAAGGGTGACCTGAGAAGGGCAGGGGTGTGGTGTGGGCTTGGACTGGCAGTAGGAGGGCTCAGCAATGGTGCAGGCCAGTCCAGCAGCAGTCACACGGATTGCAAAGTATAGGCCTGCTTCTTTTGTTCAAGTAAAATCTCGATTGCTGTGAATAATGCATGAGTTTCCCAGGTTGTGTGGCACACGCGAATCATTAGATGTACTAGTGGATAGCTGCAAGGCCGACCAATGGCCAGCAAGGCAGGGCAGGGCAGGGCAGGGCAGGGCGGGGCAGGGCGGGGAATGGCGGGGAAGGGCGGGGCGGAGCGGGGCGGGGCGGGGCATGACGGAGCAAGCGAGGCCGGAGAGGGTGTGGGTAGGTGGCGTTACCTTGAGGAGGTAGGTGGCGTCCTGGAAGCCGGAGAAGGGGTTGAAGTTGTTCACCATGCGGATGTGCGCTGTCTTCAGCTCCGGCTCTATGAACGCCTTGTACATCGGGTACACCTGGGGGGGGGGGGAGGGGGAGCATGGCACGCAGGGAGTTTAGGGCATGCAGGGCGTCAAATATGGGGAGGAGCAAGAAGGATATGCGCCGTCTTCAGCTCCTTCCCTATGAGCGCCTTTGTACATCGGATACACCCGGGGGGCGGCGAGCAGGGAGTTCAGGGCATGCATCGCATGCAGTGCATGGAGGGCACGCATTCAGGACTCTCCACTCTCTAGCCCCACCTGCACCACTGACCCACCGTTTCAGAGATTTGCTGAATGATGCTTTCCGGTGCCTGCCCCGAGCGGTCAATGTCGTGCAGCACGCGTTTGACTAGGTCAAATTGCACCCCGCCCGTGATGGCCACACGCAGGTCCAGCAGCAGTCTCACTCTGGTCCCTGCCCCTCTGCTCCACTGACCCACCGTCTCACATCTGCTGGATGATGCTCTCAGGCGCCTGCCACACCCTTCCCCCACCCTCCTCCTTTCCCCTCTCCCTCTCTTCCCACACCACTGACCCACCGTTTCTGATATCTGTTGAATGATGCTCTCTGGTGCCTGCCCAGACCTATCAATGTCACGCAGCACGCGCTTGACGAGGTCAAAGTGAACTCCGCCCGTGATGGCCACTCGCAGGTCCAGCAGCGGCCGCACGCGCTCGTTGAGTGCGTGGATGCCCTCCAGAATGATCACTCGCGACTTGGGGACTGCTTGCTCCCTGAGGGAAACACACGTGGGAGATGACACGAATGTGAAGAACGGGGTGTGGAGGATAGACATGCGTGTGACGCGCAGGTCCAGCAGCGGTCTCGCCCACTCGTTGAAGGCGTGAATGCCCTCCAGGATGATCAATCGCGACTTGGGGACCGCTTGCTCCATGGGGGGCGAGCACGGTGGAATGTCATGGCAATGGCACCAGATTGGCGCGAAGTAATCTGTCCTCTTTCTATTTAAATCAATTTACTTCTCTACATGCATTAAACTTGGCCTGGCACGAACGTGAAACTTGGCACCTGTTTTGACACGACTTCCTTCACACTCTCAAAGGGGACGGAGAAGAGCGCGCGCAAGATCCGGACATGTCTCAGTGAGCCGACGCGCTGGCTGGACTTGAAGTCGTGGATGAGCACCTGCACCGCCTCGCCTCGCCTGAAATGACTTTAGCGTTGACTCAGAGTGTCATTTAAGTCGATTCATAGTAACTCAAGAGAGAGGACGCACCTGAAGCCGACGCGCTGGCTGGACTTGAAGTCGTGGATGAGCACCTGCACCGCCTCGCCTCGCCTGAAATGACTTTAGCGTTGACTCAGAGTGTCATTTAAGTCGATTCATAGTAACTCAAGAGAGAGGACGCACCTGAAGCCGACGCGCTGGCTGGATTTGAAGTCGTAGATGGGCACCTGCACTGCCTTGCCTCGCCTCGCCTTGCCTCAGGTGACTTTAGCGTTGACTCAGAGTGACATTGCAGTTGATTCATAGCGACTTAAGAGAGACGTCGCACCTGAAGCCGACGCGCTGGCTGGATTTGAAGTCGTAGATGGGCACCTGCACCGCCTCGCCTCGCCTCAGCCCCTCGATGTTCTCCAGCAGCAGCTCGTAGTCCGTGATGCGCGGATCTGCAGAGTTGTTTGATGCGGTTAGATGGATTTTGACGCGTTTCAGCGCATTACATTGCAATTTTATGTGTTTCACACATGCTCCACCTATGGCAGCGAGTCTTGGAAAGAACTGCAGGAAAGCACTCGACAACTCTTCAACCGACGTTCATGTTTTTACGACACCCAACACAGAATGGATAAGCCTGTGGAGCATCGGAGAGAGCAACGAACCGTCGAATACGCCATGATGGCGCGCGGCGAGGAGACGTTGCAATCGCCCATGGAGACGACAACGACATTATGAAACGTCTCAAAAGTCACGCGAGAGGGGTGAGTGAGTGACTGACCGTTAAAGTTGCCGTCGATGACGCGCGAGGCGACGTTGTAATGGTCCATGGAGAGCAGGGCAATGTTCTAAACGTCTAGAAGCTACAGGCGGTGGCTGACTGACCGTCGAAGTTGCCGTCGATGACGCGCGAGGCGACGTTGTAGTGGTCCATGGAGAGCACGGCGATGGAGGGCATGAAGCCCGCCACCTTGTGCGTGAACGCCGTCTTGCCCGCGCCCGACGGCCCCGCCAGCCCCACCAGAATCACCCCCGCGTTGTTCTGCGCTCCGCGGCCGGCCATGAACGAAAGGAACAGCGTCAGACGGCGAAAAATCAGGACGAAGCTGATTTGCCCTTGAAGTTGAATGCAAAAATATTATTTTTATCGACAATGAAGCAGGATGTCAAATATACACAGGCATTGACGCTTAATGTCTTATTCAAGTACACAATGTAACCGAAAGTTTGTGCAGTCATACGACAGCGACTGAGCGTCAAAAGCGATTGCAACGGGTTGTAAGAGAGCTACCCAAGCGGATGCCACATACGACACCAACGTGAGAGTTGATAAATTAACGGAAAATTACAGTTAAATTTACAAAAATTTACCTAAATGGCAGAAGCAGCAGCCAGCCCCACCTGTGTGAGGAGCTGCACGGCGCGGATGAAGAGGAAGAAACCCTTTTCGAACGACAGCTGCTCTTCCACCGGAGCTATCTCCTTGCGCGCCTTGCCGTCCGGCATAACTCGCCGCACCAGCCGCAGCTGGTTCTTCAGCAAGCCGGGCCGCCTGGAGCTCGGCTTTTCCCCGTACTCCGTGAATGAATTCCCCTTCGAAGGCATCATTGACTCGCTGTTAAGAATGACTTTATCCGCTGAGTAAAATGGTAATCAAAGACGGTGCTACGGAAATGACTTGATGTGAACGTTTATTGGGCGGAACCTTCGAGTTGTCGCAAACAGAACTCTATAATAACTCTATGCACTATGTAAAAAAGGTAATAAAGAACGTTGCTAGGGAGATGATTGGACGAGAAACTTCAATGGCAGGAACCGCTAGTTTGTAGCAAAATGAATTTAAAATTAACGGATTCTTCTGGCGGAAATCAGGAACGGATTGCATTAGCGCACAGAAACAGAGCCAGTCCTTGATGAAAGGCTCACATGCTCCGTGCGCTAAGGCGGGCCCAGTGGTAGAAAAACTGCCTCAAGAACGCTATAGCAGCTAACTGGCCTGCACCACATAGAAAAGCTTTGGCTCCACAACACCAGCGGGCCTCACTGGTGCTCGTGCTTCAGGCAAGAGAGCAATGAATCCTCCTGACATGCCTTATGCAGCCAATGTAAATGGTGGTGCTTGCTGCTGTTTCTTGTTGCTGTTTGTATCTCTCCTGCTGGGGTTACTGGCACTGCTGGCTGGATGGTTTTCCCGCGAGCAACTCTCAAGGGGGTGAGATCAGGCGGGCCCAAGCCTGTCGAGTCGAGTTGAGTCGAGTCGAATGGAAAAATGCTCGGCTTGGGTGCACAGCACAACACACTGCATCACTTCCCATTGGCTCTGCCGACAAAGCGGGCAGTGAAGGAGGAGATCTTGAGGTCTGATTGGGTAGTTTCTATCACCTCCTGAACGGGCAGGTGTGAAAAGCGCACAGGCACATTCACCTTGTGCGAGGCGGGTAAGATATTTGAGGTGGTCCAGGATGCTGACACAAGTTGACGTGGAAAATCGTTATAAGTTCACGCGAAACAGTCTAATAGTTACCCTCTCGAACTGAACGAACTTCATTATCCGGCAGATAGAAAACCTGGCAGCCCAAATTGCAAAAAACGTTGTCAGCTTTTTGGGGTTCGCGAAAGCCCATGCTGATCTCGACAAATGACTGGTTCTGGTTTCATTTACACGCGGCCTCACAGCCTCCCATCCATCCATCCATACCATGCATGGCTCATCGAATCATGAAACGACTCCAACCATGCCCGCCAGCCAAACTCCCATGACCCCCCCATCATCCACCATCCACCACCAACCAGCCTTCCTCCCCAACCCCACCACCCTATTCCCCGCTCACAACCCACACTCCACCAAACATTCCCTGGACAGAACCAGAACACAGGAAACCTGGGCATTTTCCATCCAGGATTCAACTTCAATTCCCCTTGGTAATCCGCAACCGAACAGAAATCTATCCCCCCTGGTCGATTGTAGTGATCTTCTCTCCTTGTCCCGTTCCGTAGATTATTTCGCGTCGCATATAGACTCTGAATATGTCTGCGGAGGAGGAGAAGATCGAGAATCCCGCTCACCAGGAGGAGGATGACGATGCTCCCAAGGCCGATGACGAGGACACGGGAGCGCACATCGCTCCCATTGTGAAGCTGGAGGAGGTTGCCGTGTCGACGGGTGAAGAGAATGAGAACGTCCTCTTTGAGATGTAAGCTGTTAGCTACGCAAGCGGTTTGATTAACGTCACATAAGGTGTCGTGCTCGTGAGACCTGATTTGAACATGGTGCTATAGCAGGACAATACCGCAGGTCAGGTATCTGCGAGTCTTCTTTTATCGAGCTCGAAGCTACCTGTCTTACACTGAACCCATAACAACCGTTCTTGGTGAACGCCATTTACGTACATGAAATTTGTTCGCGACGCCGTTTGCACACTTGAAATTCGTTCCCGTGCGTTGCTAGCATACACGAGATCCTATCAATCTTTCGATTCCCCGCAGTTTTTGAGAGCAGGATCATGAATCTCTCATTCCCGTTTGACGTGACATGGTTATGTTTCCAGCAAATCCAAGCTATACCGGTTCGACAAGGAGGGGAACCAATGGAAAGAGCGGGGTGTGGGCCAAGTAAAGCTTCTGGAGCACAAGGATACCAAGAAGGTTCGGCTGCTGATGCGACAGCAGAAAACGCTGAAGATTTGCGCCAACCACACAGGTAGGGCAATCGGATCGATCACGCACCTTTGTCGTTCACTATCCTGAGCCATTGTTCCCACGAATTTATTGCTCAGCACTCATCCTTGCCGCAGAATACCGCTACTATGCCGGAGAGAGCGTCAGTGTTTTCTCTTATCGTTCACAGTTATTGTTATTCTGTTCCAAGGAATAGTTTCTCACTCTTGATGTTCGGTGCTGCGGTCAATCCCTTATGAAATAGCTGCCTTTTTTCTGATGTCACTCTTAACTCAATCTCCCCCGTGTATCGTGCTTTTGTCTGCCTGCAGTGCTACCGTCGATGTCGCTTCAGGAGCATGCAGGGAGCGACAAGTCATGGGTGTGGCACGCACAGGACTTTGCGGACGGAGAGCTGAAGAAGGAGCTTTTTACCATGCGGTTCGGCTCGCCAGAAAGTGAGTGCTTCTCAACGTTTTGTTGTTTTACGGTGTCCTCGTTGTTCACTAGGGTGACAACTTCATCCTTCGTCTTTATTGGTCGGCATTTGTTAAGGATATTACTCATCAGGCCGTCTTTACCGTCTCGTCTTGCACTCCCACTCACTGGTTCTGATTTACTCTCACCCTTACCCGCATCCTCACCCTCACCCCTGGTTACAATTCTCAGCTTCTCCACTTATGTGTTTATCTATGCCCAGGTGCTCAAAAGTTCAAGAGTGCATTTGAGGAGGCACAGGAGAAGATGGCAGCAATTCTCGGGACCACAGACGCAGCCAAGGAGGTGGCAAAGGAGGCGGAGAAAACAGCAGAGGAGCTTGAGAAGCTGGCTGTCAAGAAGGATGAGGAGAAGCCAGCTGAGTAGTGATACACTCTTGTAGAACGCCGTCTCCTAGGTTCAGCTCAATTGAAGCAATTAGTATTGTAGTTCCGTCTTGCTCCTGCCTTGTAGGTTGCGTAAAGGTTATATGAGTCACTACGAAGCTGCTTGTATTCAAGGAGTTGTGGCACAATTATTTAGATTCACCTGCTCAAAATATTTTTTAGTGACAGTTGGAGCCGCCAGGTGCATCGAACTGCAGGACGAATTTGTTGTATCGCGAACAGCTCCATGTAAATCACAGCATGCAGCCCCGTCGTTCTTGCCACGCGGCATCGCAAGCACGACCAACACGAGGGCAACCAATAATGATGAGTGCGAGGAACTCCTTTTGGTTGAGCAACTCCATTCCAGCAGACGGGAACTCACAACACGAGACCAGGAGGTAGAGTGCTACCTGTCGATTCGTCTATTTGCTATGCAACGCTAGCCTAAATAATGTGCACAGTCACTAGCGCGGCTTGATCGATCTTGCTCGTCCCGTCACCCATGAGCCGTGCCCTACTAGCTCCACGCATGAAATCACTCCATATTCCTATTCCCCGCCCACGAACGACGCACACTCCACTCCGTTCCATCCCTCCGATCCTTCTCCTCGCGCTCCTGATTCACTTCCTCTTCTGGTTCCTACTCACCGTTCGCTTTACGGGAGCGTCGCTTCAAGGCAGCGTAGGGTGCGGGCTTGCCGACGAACAAAACGCGCAAGACGCGTTTGGTCAGGATCCTGACAGTCAATCTGATCTTGAGAATCCTGAGATTCTAAAGCATTCGGACAGTCGCGGCAACACCGAGGATTCCCGAACCTGCGCGGCGGATCCCGCCATGTCAAATCCCGTTGCTGACTCTCAAAAGGCAGGCTCCACGGCGATCGCGTCCGCGTTAAAGGACGTCCCGGTTGAGCGTATAGTGGGGCCTGGAAATGCCGAGGTGGTCAAGATAGGTTCCTTCTGGGAGACTCAGGTGAGAAATGGCTGCTAGCAAGCCCGCTGCGACTTGTTAACGTCAACTCAATGGCCATCTTGAGCAATGGCCGCTTTGGAAGCCCTGTTTCGCTGGACGCTTGCTTGGTTCGCTAAATGCTTTGATGCTCCTACAAGAATTTAATGAAGGAAGCGTCCGCGCAGCGCAACAATCCATTGCTTCATAAAGTCTGGTTTTCTGTGAACCGTTTTTGGTTTCCCTATTCCTCCCTAGCAACACTTACCGTACCCCTCTTTCCGCCGACGCTCTTGTCTATCGACGTCTCCGTCTTCTTCCCTCTCCTCCTCTTCCACATCCCCCTCTCCCCTCTCATTTTCCTTCTGCTGCCCTCCTCCCCTGCCCCTCTCGCCCCCTCCCCCTCCCCCACTCTTTTCTTTCCCGTCCCACCCCTCCCTTTCCTCCCCCCTTTTTTTGTTCTCCCCATCCCCCGTTTTCCCCCATCCCCAGCCCGTGGTGATTCATTTCCTCCGCCGATTCGGCTGCCGCATTTGCAGAGGTGGAGCCATGAACATGTCTCGAGCCATCCCACACCTCCACAAAGCAGGCGTGCGGGTCGTTGCCATCGGTGGGTGGGAGGGTGGGTGGTTAGCGGGTGGGGAGGTGGGAGGGTGTCATGGGGGTTGCCATGGACATGTCGCACGCCATCCCCCACCTCCACAGCGCGGGCGTGCGGGTCGTTGCCATCGGTGGGTGCCGTCAGGTCCTGAGCGTGCATAGTGGGGAGCGGGTAGCAGGTGACTAGCTTCCCTCGGGGGCTGCCATGGACATGTCGCGAGCCATCCCACAACTGCACAAAGCGGGCGTGCGGGTCGTTGCCATCAGTGGGTGCCTCGGGTGGATGGCTAGCGGGTGGGGAGGTGGGAGGGTGTCATGTCTCGAGCCATCCCACACCTCCACAAAGCGGGCGTGCGGGTCGTTGCCATCGGTGGGTGGGAGGGTGGGTGGTTAGCGGGTGGGGAGGTGGGAGGGTGTCATAAAGGGGGGCGCGATGGTGATAGGGATGGTGATAGGGATGGTGATAGGGATGGTGATAGGGATGGATGCCATGCCTCTGAGCATCCCAGCCTCTGCTGGATGGAGGCTACTGGTAGAGTGCTGCCTTTCTCACTCATCCTCCGTACCGGTCTGCTCACCTCCCTTGCTACTGCTCACCTCCCTTGCTGCTGCTCACCTCCCTCGCTGCTCGCTCGTCTCACAGGAGTGAACCATCTGGGAGTGGACTAGTTAGTGGACGGAGGCTACTGGAAGGGTAGAGCACCACGTTTCTTTTGCACCTCCTTGCCTCCTTGCCTCCCTGCCTCCTTGCCTCCCTGCCTCATTGCGCTGCTTTTCATCGCCCCCCCCCTCCCTCACCGCACTGCTATCCCCACAGGCCTAGATCATCTGGGAGTGGAGGAGTTTGTGGACGGGGGTTACTGGAAGGGCGAGCTGTATATCGACGATGGCAAGCGCGCCTACCGTGCCCTGCAGCTCAAATCCATCTCCCTCTGGCAGGTATGTGCTGTGCGCTTGCTGCTTTGGGCACTCTTGTGGGCTTTGCTGCCAGGGTGAGGCCGTGCACTGCAGCTTGACTTAACTACCTTGCATGGCAGCTTGACACACCCATGTTGCGTAACAGCCCTGCCAGTTCAGTTCAGTGAACATCTCACTCCTCTCCATCTCCCTCAGCCCCCCATTTGCCCCCCTCACCACTGTCCACCCCAAGTTCCCGGTCGTTTTTATGTTGAGGAAAATGTGCATGGTATGACGTTTCACTGCCCTGTCTGGACCACCATCACTCGCAGCTTCATCCCCCTATCGCTCGCTTGCCCCCACTTTCCTGCCTACCACTCCCTGGACTCTTTGGTTCATCAGGTGGCGTATCAGCTACTGTTTGACAAGACTGTGAAGAAGTCCCTTGGAGACACGGCCAATGTCAAGGGCGACCTGGCTGGAGATGGCCTGTGAGTACACTCTACACTATGTGTGTATGTATTCTATTGTGTATGCTTCTTCCGACCTGAGTTTGTGCCTTTGTGTAAAATTGCAGTTTTCGCGACTTTTTGTGGTTATGTTCGTGTATTGCCTGCAGGCAATTGGGAGCCACTTTTTTGTTCGATAAAGGTGGCAGGTTGCTTCACGAATTCAGACAAGTGACGGTGGCAGACCATCCATCTCCAGAAGAGCTTTTGAAGCCTTTTGCAATCGATTCAAGTGTGCTTAGCGGAGTGAAAGAAGCTAGAGGATCCGCAGAAGAGGGTAAAGAGGCTACGTGTGAAGGAGAGGAGTGCTCGTAATGAACAAGTTCTAAATAGAATATTTTTGTATGCATATATTGATATAGTGGTTTTTATGTTACACGTTATTATGTTGGGGTACACGCTACATGCTACACTCCCCATCAGCGGGCCAGCGTCAATCACAAATTTCACTGGCCGAGCCGTGTGACCCAAGATTGACGGAGAGTCGTCCACGTGACCGGTGGCTGCACGAATCGCTCGATCCAAACACAATTTATGGCCACGCGGCAGTCAGGACGTGTGAGCCGCGTATCGACGGTGACACGTCAGCACTTGTATTGGCATTGGGAATGCCGGCCATGTGAGTGTACCACAATCTGGTTGCATTACCCTCCCCGTGCTGAGGGAAGGTCTGACAGGGAAAACTAAGGGCGTGGAACATTTTTACGACCCGCCGAATTGTCGACCATATGGTTGTGTCTGGCGAGAGCGAAGGGTGTAACAGGGATGCGAAGGGTGCGAAATTTCTAAGCTATTCTGCTCGCCAGCACGTGGGGCACCCAATAAAAACCACCCCCCACTAAGCAGAAACATTTGTTATCAGTTGAAGCATTCGAAAGGGGTGTGGGCTATAGGGGGGAGCGGGAAATGATTGGAGCGTTAGGCAAACACAGTCGGGGGTAAATACTGGAAGTAAAACAATGTCCCCTTTTTAATGGATAAGTGGCAGTGAAGGCCCTAAATACTTGCGTGAAATTCCAATTATTTTCGGTCAATTCAGGGTGACTAACATGCATGCCGGTCAATGGGGTTTCCTTAAAATCTTCGCAATCGCCAGAAACAACCATCTCTCCGACCTTTTGGCGTGGTCGTAAAAATGTTCCACGCCCTAAAGCGAAACGTATTTTCCGCAAAGATTCGCGTTTCGTACAACTAGGTTGCTCGAAACCGCATTCGCTGCTAGCAGCAGATTAGCTTCGGCATTGCAGCTTCATACTCAGAGCGGCTCCATTCTACCCAACACTAGCCATGGCGTTTGCGACTCGTGCAACCAGCTGCCAGCTCCGTCTGCCAGCGAATCTTCCTCTAAATTCCGCGTCCAAGGTGGGCCTTTGTGAGAATACCTATTCAATATCGCGTACAGGTGCTCTAACGATTCTAAAAGATTCTCACATCTCGCCTCTTTCTGGGGGGAATAGCTGCTGCATTACCAGGCGGGCAATGCCAGACTGTCATGCCTGTCTTTCTGCTTTCCCACAAAACACGAACGAACATTTCCTTCACTTCTAAAAAACGTACACTACATAAGCCCCCTCATTTTTCAGTTACCCCCATCCCCCCTCCCGCCGCTTCCCTCGGTCAGGGCCCCGTCTCCGTCCGCCTCCCCGCTGTGCGCGCGGCGGCGGGAGATGTGGAGAGCAGCGGCGCGGAGAAGCCGCGGATGGGGGAGCGGCAGGGGGAGCGCGCGAAGGGCATCTTCGAGTTCGTCACGGACAACCCGTCGAGCCGCTCCGCCATCCAGCTCAAGAACGCGCCCGCCATGGACGGCAACGTCGGCCAGATGATCTCGGTGCGTGCGCGCGACAGTGTGCGACACAGTGTATGCGACAGTGTGCGAAACTGTGCGAAGGATTATGTTTGTATGTGCGACAGCGTGCGACAGATTGTAGTAGTGGTGCGTGCGGCAACACATGCAGCTGGGCGCGTGCGGGAGCCGCGGATGGGGGATCCGCAGGGGGAGCCGCAGGGGGAGCCGCAGGGGGAGCGCGCCAAGGGCATCTTCGAGTTCGTGACGGACAACCCGTCGAGCCGCTCCGCCATCCAGCTCAAAAACGCGCCCGCCATGGACGGCAACGTCGGCCAGATGATCTCGGTGCGTGCGCGCAACGCTGTGCGACAGTGTGCGAAACCGTGCGACAGATTGTGTTCGGATGTGCGACAACGTGCGACAGATTGTGCTGATGCGTGCGACAACGCGTGTAGCTGGTCGACCCATCCGCGATGATGATTAGTGTCGCCTGGTTGAGCCGACTCGGCGACTAATGCGGACAGGCTGAACGGCGACCTGATACGAGTGATAAGATCGGGTGAATGCGGCTCGAGTCGGTCCGGAATTCAGGCAGGGGAACGTACGTAGAAAGTCCACGAACCCGATGAGCTGGCGAACGGGCTGGGTTTCGTTAACCTTTTTCGACCCCGCCCCTCTGCCGCCCCTCTGCCGCCCTTCTGCCGCCCCTCTGCCGCCCGTCCAGGGCGCGGGAGGCGAGGCGGAGAAGGGGCGGGCGGGAGGGTCGGACGAATACGTTGAGGCGTTTCAGTGGAAGGCCGGGGTGGGCGGATTTGGGGGGTGGGGGAAGAGATAGGCACTGGGGTGGAGGGGAGAGGGGGTTGATCGCTTTGGGAGGGGGGGAATGGCCGACTTAGGGACCGGGCGAGGATGGGCGCGTTGGGAGGTCAATGGATGGAAAGGGATTTGACACGTGGGCTGGGGATTCTGAGGGAGGAGGGGAAGGGACGGGCTAGGTCTGTTTTGTGAAATTAGAGGTGCCTTTACGTGCCTCCACTCTCGTCGTGCATACCCTCTCCTTGTCCCTTGACGCTCAGAATGCTGCGCCGATATCCTCCCCTCTTCTCTCCTCCCTTTTCTCTTCTCTTTTCGCCCTTCTCCATTTCATATGTTCGAATGCGCAGCATCACCCGCTATCTCGCTACCCCATTTCCTTCCTCACCTCCCTCGTCTCACCTCGCCCCTACCCATCCCATGCCCCCCGCCCTTTCCCATCCCATGCCCCTCACCCTTCCCCATGCCACGCTCTTGGCTCCTGGAGCAGGCGATAGAGGACAAGGGCAAGGACATGGGGTCGTACGTGCTGTCGGGCGAGTTCCAATACTTCGTCCGCCAAATAGGTGCGTGCGCCCTCTGGTCCTTCTCGTGTGGCAAATAGGTGCGCTCTCCCCGCTCGCCTGTGCTCATTCTCCCTCTTTCCTTGTAAGGAATGAAGTCCTGCCGCAAACAGGTGCGAGTTTTTAGTCGCTTCCTGCGTTCCCCCTCTCTTCTTTCTCTTTCAGAAGAGGGTAACAGTGTAACCTTACGACCTCCTCCCCGTGCTTCTGCACGGCCGTGCATCAGGCGAGGCATGCCACCATCTGGTGGGTATACCAGCCTGGTGGGTATACCAGCCTGGTGGGTATACCAGCCTGGTGGGTATACCAGCCTGGTGGGTTTTCCAGCCTGGTGGGTATACCAGCCCTGAGGCGGCTTAAACAGCACCTCACTTCTTTTGCAGGGTGTTTTTGAGAATTCTCAGAAACAACCTCACTTCTGGTGGTGTATGAGTGAAGTGCTCCAGCGTAGTTTGTGTAAAGTGCAGTGGGATCCTCAACTCCTTTCTTCCCACAACCCTTCTCCCCCCTCACCTTTCCCCCTCTCCCTTCTCCCCTGAACCCACATTAGGCAACGCGGGCGATCCATTGGTGGTGTATCTGCATGGCGCACCGGCACAGTCGTGGGGCTTCCGGGAGGTGATGCAGCAGGTGATTGAGTGCGCTGCATGCACGTGCACACACGCACGCATGGACACACACACACACACACACACACACACACACCCACACACACACACACACACACACCCACACACACACGCACACACGCACACACACACACACACACGCACACACACGCACACACACACACACACACACACGCACACACACGCACACACACACACACACGCACACACACGCACACACACACACACACACACGCACACACACGCACACACACACACACACACACACACACGCACACACACACACACACGCACACACACACACACACACACACACGCACACACACACACACACACACGCACACACACACACACACGCACACACACACACGCACGAATAACGATTCTTCCTCCATTCCCGCCTGCTTCCACCCTCCCCCTGCTCCATGGCACTACGGCCCGACGGCAGAAGAGTAGATGACGGAGAAGGGCCGTAGTGCCATGGAGCAGTGCCACACGCAAGAACTAACCCTTCACCTTCCGTGCCCCACTCCCTTCACCGTTGCCGTGCCTGCGCGGGGCAGATGGCGGAGAAGGGCTACAGAGGCATTGCACCCGACTGGCTGGGCTTCGGCTTCTCTGAGAAGCCCCAGCCTGGATACTACTTCGCCTACACTGGTGAGCGGGAGTGGGGGCTGTGGCATTGGTTCAGGTGGTGGGGTTGATGGGGTGGGGGGGGGCATGAGGGTATGAGGGCATGAGGGAAATGGGTGACTGGCTGGCGTTCGGCTTCTCTGAGAAGCCCCAGGCTGGACACTACTTCGCCTACACTGGTGAGAGAGAGGGAGAGGGGGGGTGTGTGGCGGTGGTCCGAGTGGGGGGGTTGATAGGGGCATGGGGGCATGAGGGCATGGAGGGGGAATGGGTGACTGGCTGGGGTTCGGCTTCTTTGAGAAGCCCCAGCTTGGGTACTACTTCGCTTACACTGGTGAGAGAGAGGGGGGTGTGGCGGTTGTCTGAGTGGTGGGGGTGCTGCAGAGGGATGAGGGGGAATGGGTGACGCGTGGGGCAGTTCGGCTTCTCCGAGAAGCCCCAGCCTGGATACTACTTCGCTTACACTGGTGAGAAGGAGAGGGGGTTGTGTGGCAGTGGTTCGGATGGTGGGGTTGATGAGGGGGAAATAGGGGGAGTGGGTGACGGGGGTGGCTGGGCTTCGGCTTCTCTGAGTAGCCCCAGCCTGATACGACTTCGCTTACACTGGTGAGGGGGGAGGGGGGTCTGTGGCAGTGGTTCAGGCGGTGGGGGATGATCAGGGCATGCGGGGGAATGGGTGGTGGAGCCGGCTTCTCCGAGAAGCCCCCGGTCGAGTACTACTTCGCCTACACTGGTGAGAAAGAGAGGGGGGGGTGTGGCGGTGGTCTGAGTGGTGCGGTTGATGAGGGCATGAGGGGGAATGGTGACGGGGTGGGGGGATTGATATGGGGCATTGGGATGCATAGGAAATTTGCAAGGAGGGCGAACAGGTTTCTGTCAGTGCTTGCGTTGTGGCCTGGCCCTGGTTGCTCCACTCGTGGACGTGGTACCAACATGCGTTGCTGGCCAATGATGCACATGTGGTTGGAGACTTTTGAGTTGATTCAAAAGTCACTTGTGGTTGGAGGGAAAGCGTCAGGCACGCCAAAAAGCATAAATTCCTGCTCTCTTTCCAATTGCCTGCATCACCGTCACCATCAACAACCATTATACCATCACCATCAACCATCACACCATCACCATCAACCATCGTACCATCACCATCACACCATCACCATCATACCGTGATCACCATACCATCACCAACACCAGCACTATTTTGAGCCCACCTAGAAAACAGCCATGGTGAATGCGAGCGGTCGTGTGCATTGCCCCCACGTATCCATCTCGTCCTCCCCCGCCCATCCATGCAGGGGACGCGTACCACCGAGAGCTGAACTGCCTGTTGCCGCCTTGCATGTGACTGAACTGAACCCTTGCCTTGCACTGACGCTCTTCTCTTTGCTTCTCTCTCCTCCCCTCCCATGCCATGCAGAGGACGCGTACCATCAAGAGCTGAACCGCGTGTTGCCGCCTTGCATGTGACTGAACCCTTGCATTGCATTAAACCCCGTTCTCTGCGCCTCTCTCTCCTCTCCCGCCCTGCCCATGCAGAGGACGCATACCACCAAGAGCTGGACCGCGTGTTGGAGACTCTCAACGTCACTGAGCCATTCTACCTTGTCGTGCACGTGAGTCAATGATTCCTATGGAGCTGACATGATGTCTATGGAGCTGACTTGTGAGTCGACTCAAAAGGCATTCAACGTCACTCAACTTTCTATCTTGTCGTGCATGTGAGTGAATGAAATCCGTACCAAGCCGTCTTGCAACCCATTTACCGGGTAATGAAATTTACCCTATACTGCATGCGATGCAAAGTGCCCTCGCCTTATAACGGGTCGACTGTGAACTTCATTACAGTGCGTGCAACTAATTTTGCCTTATGAAAAACCGTATTAAACCGCATTGTATTGCGAAGAGTGGGGTTAAACCCAAAAACACAATCTCTCCCAATTCGACTCCCTATACGCTCTCCCTGCCCCTGCCATGGTGCGTAGGGCTATCTGGTGGGAAGCTACGGCCTAACGTGGGCGCTCAAGAACGCCAGTCGGCTCAAGGGACTGGCCATCCTCAACACACCGCTCTCCCCCTCCTCGCCCCTGCCGCAGATCTTCCAGCAACTCAGGTGATCCCAACAGGTTAGGTAATTCAGGTGCTCACAGCAGGCCAGGTAGTTCAGGTGCTCACAGCAGGCCAGGTAGTTCAGGTGCTCTCAACCCGCCGCTCTCCCCCCCCCGCTTCGCCCCTTCCCCAGATCTTCCAGCAGCTCAGGTGCCCATAACAGACCAGGTGGGCTCAGCTGTTCAGTTAAACCTGACCAGGTGGGCTCAGGTTCTCTAAACAGTTCAGATGGACTCAGGTGCTCTCAACAGACCAGGTAGCCTCAGGCGCTCAGTTTAACAACAGACCACGTGGGCTATGGCTCTCTCAACAGACCAGGTGGCAGGTGCGATGAAATCAAGTGCTCAACTGCCTGCACCTGAACGCCACGCTGCTACCCTCGCTCCACTCACACGTGTCAGTCTGCCATCTCCTCTCACTCTCGCTTGCTGCCTTCTTCACCTTCTCCCTCCCTCCCTTTCTCCCTTTAACCCCCAGGCTGCCCTTCGTGGGCGAGTTCCAGTGCCAGAACGCCGTGCGGGTTAGGTTAGCCAATACTCTCAATACTCTCAATACTCTCATACTCTCGCTCCTCTCACTCCCTGTGCCAATCTCCTCGCAATACTCTCTGTGCCATCACTCCCTCTCCTCTCACTCCTCTCCTCTCACTCTCTCCTCTCCACTCTCACTCCCTCTCCTCTCACTCCCTCTCCTCTCACTCCCTCTCCTCTCACTCCTCTCCTCTCACTCCCTCTCCTCTCACTCCCTCTCCTCTCACTCCCTCTCCTCTCACTCCCTCTCCTCTCACTCCCTCTCCTCTCACTCCC